TTATGAATGTGTTGTAATTCTCTATCAATAGTGTCGACTGAGCATATCTTAAGAGCTCTATTTGCAAGACATTTGACTAATATTTTGATTGAATTGGGATATCCACTGGGTTTCCTGAAGAAACATTTACGCGTACTAAACAGGAAAATAGTGACCCTGACGGCTAATAAGAAACCGCTTTTCTTGAAACTACAATTCAATAGTGATTTGGCTAGCGATGTATTACAAGATAGATTGACTAGGTCAGTAAAGAGAACGTTTAATGCTGCCAACCTCTGCCTATCGTATCCGACCCGATCGATGGTGATTCCGCAATTGAAGGATAAGTTACCTGGTTATGCCACTTTTATGTGTATCTACGAATTCAGCTGCTCCTGTAGAGAAAGCTATATTGGGCGCACTACCAGGCAACTGAACCAACGAGTTAGTGAACACCTCCCTTCGTGGTTAGGAAAAGGTTACGTCAAAACAATACACAGCTCGGTTCTATCACACTTGATCGATAGCGGTCATATAGTGGACAGAAACAAGTCGTTCAAAATTTATTTACCGGATTCCCACTAGTTTTCCTTATGCTGTTCGATCTCGTCTCTTACACATAGCAGAAGCTATAGGAATCCGAGCCAACAAGCCAAGTCTTTGTGTTCAGAAGAAATTTGTAACTCCCTTATCTCTCCCGTGGCCTTAAGTAATAAATGAATTTATTTATTTATTCCTTTTCTAACTATCTCTTCGTTTATTATTTTTCCTCACACCCTCCTACTACTTTATTTTCATGGTCCAATTATCTGAACATTTCTTATTACGTCATCTTATAATTTTATAATTGTTATCTCAGTTTCTATATTTTTCTAATCATTGACCTATTTCAGGTTATGTAACATTGATTTGAACCTTTATTATTATTGCTTATCAAAACTAATGCACCTGTTGTCACACCATCAATTTGTACTTTTCACATTTTACTTATTATGTAATCTTTTCCATTGTTATCATTGACTTATAAACTACCTTGATTGGTTTAATAATTTCGTATATGCATATAAATATTACTGTATATTAGAGTAAAGCCTGATGAGGATCTAATCGAAAACAATATTGTTCGCTTATATATGTTGTTCTAAATTTACAATATGGGAATATTACAATTTAAAATGTAAAACAGGAGCTAGTTGGATGCATATTTTATTTGGAGAATTTCTTAATGTACATAATAGATGGGAGGATTCCAGACAAATATTATTTTGATCCAAAGCAAACCATATTACATGCCATTTCAAGGCCATGTGGTTAGTGGATTTTGTTGGGGGGTATTCACTCAGCCAAGGTTACCGTTCACACCAGTTGATATGATGAACCGACCAGAAGTAGCCTAATGAGGGGTCAATCGATGGCAATCAGAAGTGACTTAAAGAACAAGTGTATTCCACTGTATAACCAGTTGGGTATACGTTAGAAATCAATTGTTATAACCGAATTCGATCAAAGACCATAACAGTACTAAACATAGATTATTGAATGAAGCAACTAGTATAAATCCAACTGATAAAACAAAGTGACGTATGATCCAAATAGATCCCTAGGTTTGGCAAAATGTTCCGTTAGATAAACGAATTTAGTTAAGGCAGTGTCAACTCAAGCTGGGGAATGGAATCATACTAAAATAACTGACTAGCCAAGTAAATTTAAAGAGATATAAACAATGATTACCTTCATGACTTCCACCTATTATGAGTACTGGTTTCAAAATTTTAAGGCTCGAAATTCTCCACGATAAGTTAGTTTCTATCTGTTTTTGGTGGAGTTTTGTTCTCTGGGCTGGATGGTTTGGTCGTGGAGCTTTCATCGTTCTTCTGAACGACATCATCAGCACAAACTTCAGATAGAAGTCCATCTGAAGTCTATCTATCTGAAGTTTGTGCTGATGATGTCGTTCAGAAGAACGATGAAAGCTCCACGACCAAACCATCCAGCTCAGAGAACAAAACTCCACCAAAATCATCCACCTGAGCTACACATTTTCTCCACCATCTCAAAATCATATGAGCGTAATAAGTTTCTATCTGTTCTAATCTAATAGAATTTCATATTATTAATCAAGTATTTATTCACTTGATATTGTTTTACTTGAATCTTCCCATTGATGTTTTAGGACTGAAATTGATCAGTCTCTTATTGACATATGTGCATACTGTGCGTATGCCCATTGCACAAGCAAGTGGCTATCAGGACTCAGTAGCTAAGTAAATAACGCGATGGCGTTTGAAGCGAACGGTACTGAGTTCGAGTCCCACAGTGAACATCAACTCTGAGATGCAGGCACACCCAGCTGACGAGTCCCAAACAGGACGAAACGCGCGTCCTGGATTCCACTGCCAGCCACTATACAAGTATTTATTCCTTTAGTTGGCCTTGAATCAAACGTGAAAGTTAATGACGTTATTCACATATCTAAATATAAGTAAGTGTGGTGTTTGAATTAACTAATGATTCTTTTGTACTTGTTGAATGCTCGATTTCGAATTCTAAATACAGTACATTCGTTGTGCCTGTGTCTTCTTAATTCAATTGCGTTAATCCTGGGATTCCTAATTCATACTATAATTAGAATACTATATTGGCGTCGCGAGCAGGATTCTGCAATGGAAAAGTTAGATATTCATTCAACTTCAGAAGCTTTTGAAGATTACTTTGAAAGGTTCGAAATCTGGGCTATGACCAAGGAAGATGATGAGGATGTTAATATTGTGGCACACTTCCTCACATTCATTGGAAAAGAAGCATACAGCTTATTAAGAACTCTGGCTATGCCGGAAAAACCCATTTCGCTTTCTTATACAGCTCTCAAGGATCTACTGCTAGACTATGCTCAGTATACAAATTTCAAATGTCGTAAAGGAGGAAGATTTCGTAAAATGATTCATGAGGATATAAAAAAGTCCACTACATTACTACGTCATCTCAACCTAGTGCATACTCAAGGTTATGCAGACAATTCATTGAATTTGGATGCAGTTCACGAGGATGGGGACAAGTTTGGTCAGTGTTTGTCCTGTTGCAAGTTCCACTCTCCTAATTCATGTAAATTTCATAATTCTAAATGCTTCAAATGTCGTGATATTGGACAAGTTCAGTCAGTTTGTAATGCTAATGTTCATCTTACTGCAATTAATATTAAGTCTTGTAATTCTGATTCTACTGAGTCGAGTATTCATGATGATCATTTATCTTTATCAACGATTTCAAAAGACAGTGCAGAGTCATATGGCAGTTCAGAGTTAAATGAAATCCAGAATTCTTGTGAGACAACATTTCCTAATCAACCAATTTATCAGAATTCTCATGCTATTGTACCAAGTATGACTTTTCCTAATGATTCACATATTTCTAATGAAATTACTTGCAATTCTGAGGAAAATATGTTAAATGAACCTAATCATGATCGAAAACCTGATGTGGTTTGGATAGATGCTGATTTTTCTAACGACCCTACGTTCTGCAATGACAGTCCTGATGAATTTCATGAGAATATTTCAGAAGAATCAAATCCTGATGTCATATCATATATTACCTATCCTCATAATGTATTTGATCTTCGTGAAAAACCTGCCCAATGCGAAGCACGAGTACTAAGTGACCTCGAGTTTTATTATATTTCGGATGATTTCATATCAACTGCTGTTTACTCTTATCACAAAAACAGTTCTAATGTTTACTCTAAACAATGTGAGATATATGTTTTAAATGAAGCCACATTATTCATAACTTGGGAGTATAAAGATCCAACATTATTTCGTGGGGGGGGATAGTGTTGAAAAATCTATGGTTCGAATTCTAGATATTAATGATTTCATTACAAAACCGACATGCTGGTTGTATACAATTCCAAAAAAAAAAAAAAAAAAAAAAAAAAAAAAAAAAAAAAAAAAAAAGCACTTTCTAGATACTACAAAGTTTTTATCTTATACAATGTCGGACAGACTCAGAATGAACTTAACAAGAAGACGTACAACCGATTACAAACACTTATACTTCTATTTAAGCTGTGGCGGATGTGGTGTTTGAATTAACTAATGATTCTTTTGTACTTGTTGAATGCTCGATTTCGAATTCTAAATACAGTACATTCGTTGTGCCTGTGTCTTCTTAATTCAATTGCGTTAATCCTGGGATTCCTAATTCATACTATAATTAGAATACTATAGTAAGTGAAACGGCTTTTAAATATATGACTTAGTTGTTGGAAGTAAATTGTTTTGAACTAGGTTGTCACAGTTAATTGATAATATAACTAGATGTTCGCCTATGCACTACTACACTAAACCGTGTACAAAATAAGATTGTAATGGTAAGAGTATTACTTCACAATTTCTTGACGATCAGATCGGAATTTGAGACATTTTTGATAAGAGTGCTGTCATTCCACCACTTCGACGGATGGGTCAAAAGATTTATCGTTTAACTCAGATTTCACTTTCGCTTTCATGTAAAACACAAACTTGCAATATTTGATGATTATAAGTATTTTATAAACAAAGTACGCTGCAATCAATTTATGAGATCTGATGGGTCTCATAACTTATCTAACCATTTCTTTACACTTTAGGAGAAGTTTAACATCATATTCTTTAGCAGGTTCTCAGTTGTTAAGATATATTTCATGCCATCCTACATGGGGCCTATCATTTGCTTAATTTTGTTCAACAAGGATTTATACTATTCCGCTACGATGTCACTAACTGATTAGTCCTAACCTTTTAAAGTACTTTCTGGTTTTTAATATTTGGTTTTAGTTTTGAGTCTATTTTGGTCATTAAATATCGTAATTATGATCAGCAAAAGATCCTTTGGAGCCAATAATTTTAGGTATTAACTTCGTAGTTCTCTTGTCGTGCTATGTACATGTCTACGATAGCTTTTCAAATTGATGAGGACCTAATTTAGTTGTCTCACAAATGGAATCTTATAAAACATATCAGAATATTCTGTATTGAATAAATTTACTTTTTAGCAAAACGTGTACCGCAACAGACAATAATGTTGGTTACATTTCATCCATGGCAACATTGATTAAGTCCTTCAGCTGCTTGTTTATTGATTCCAATATGTTATTCAGTTCTTCCAATGACTCTTGTTCCATTCCAGTGATATAGTGAAATGATTTTGACCCAAGGTAGTCTGTACCTAGAGTTTTTAGAATGACACTTGTAGATTACCTGTTGTCTGAAAATACCTAGTCAAAACATGTTTTAAATTCTGGAAATGAATAAGGCAGACATTCCAATTAAGACATTTTTATCGAAAATATTTCTTCAAATGTTTGTTTCGGCGTCATGACAGTAACTTGTAGTCTCTGCTTTACGTAATAAAGTTTCTATACTTTTAGTGTTGTGAAGTTTACGGTTATCCTATGTGTAATGTACAACAATAATTCAGATTTTAATAATTTGTAAATGACGTACAGTCATGAAATGCTATGGTGCGTGAACCAACTAGTTTATTTGTACAATATGTCTTTTTTAAAATTCTAACTATTAAGTATTTTCATATCCTGTACTCAGTATGTGGGCTATTAAACATTTCTTCCACCATGTTGAATTGTCATTTTGATTTGAACTTACCATTAGGCTTCATTTTCCTTTCAATGAAAAAGGTTTAATAACTGGGAAAATATGTTTAAAACAAGTTGAAGTAGTAGTTAGACTTAACAGAACCGCTATTTTTAAAAATACAAAACGACCATGTTGATATTAATTGAAGATATGGTGTTAAAATTCGAAACGTAACTACCTGTAAAAATCTTATTCAATTCTAAATGCATCTGTTCATTTTTTCTTGGATGATGCTAATTCAAATATTTAACACAAATTCCGATAAAAATAGCATCTAAATTTCAGTAAAACCTGTTATTTAGCACAAGGAAATTATTGAAATCATAAATACAAAGATCTTGAAACCGTTACCACTTATCTGGCAATAAGAAACAGATGAATTAGATTAACTTCGCGGAAGGACTTAGTTTTAGATGATTTATTTAACCCAGATGGGATAAATTAGTCTTTGATGCAGAAAAGAAATTTCAACATTTACCCGTGACATCTATTTGTTAATTTATTATGAAATAGGCTTTGAATTAAGTTTGTGCTAATTCATATTATTTTTGTGAGTTCAACTGTTGGCTAGGTTTAACTGTAAATGGTGTGAACAAAAATTTTATAAACTATCGTTTCTTATCACTTGCTCACGATTATCACCACAATTTGTAGCGCACAAGGCCCCTTCGGCTCTTCAAAACAATAAAGTGAGAGAAATCCACGTGATTTTTAGTTCTAAAACTTCTATCCTAACTGAATTATTTCTAAAGAAACAAAAGCCTTATCAGAGTCCTAACATTTATGGTCTTCTTACGCTTACTGTCGTCGATATGTGGAATTAACTAAAAGGCCAACCTACCTGTCTGATTTGGAATAAAAGTGTCGTAGATATAAATTGAGACAGTAGCATCAAGTTCGTTTGCAACAATGCGTCCGTTAATCTTAGCATTACTTTTGGCCAATTTAAATCTAAAATGAGAACAAATTTGTCACCATAATAAGTATATTTCCATGATGTTAAACCGTAGAAAAGTCTGGACAATTTCTGTGTGAGATTGAAATGGTTAAACTAACGTCTATCGATTTTATCTTCATGAGAATCCATAATTTACAACTGACTTTATTGTAACACATTCCCCTGTTGACTGAAATGCTGATAAGTGGTTTTGATGAGATATGAATTAACGATAGAAGGATAAATTAGTAGTTAGGGCAAACGACTGGGGCTGCTGCCGGTTCTAAGCCCAAATAAAGGAGGAGAGTTGGGCATGGGGTTAGCGACCCCATCCCGTAGAAAACTAACTCGCTAAAATGACGCTAAAAGGCAAACGACTGAACATAGCTGAACTAAAGAGTGAAATCGGTCATTGAATGCCAATCTGGACCGTGTTAGGCGTTTGTTGTAATGGTTTAGGGTTCTAGATTTTTTATATGGATCACAATGATGAAGCTTTATTTATTCTTTGTTTATGTACTACTATTTAACATCTCAATGCCTAATTGTTCGTTCCTTGTATAGTTGTCGCCTATTTAGATTTTATCAGCATGCTCAAGGATTTTTAAAATGAACTGATACACTTTTGTATAAAACTCTACATTGTCCTGTTTGTTTATGCATTCAAACTGGTGTTCATCTATGTAGAAACTACTTTGTGCATATATATGGTTCAGTTATTGTAACGACGGTACAAGTATCCTGCTACTTTCTATTGAGGACGCTCTAGGTAGATACCATAATATATACAGGGAAATTTGAAATCAGAAGATACGGAAATAAAAGTATTTGAATTGACAACTAGAGTATTACCTGAAAGTAATACGTCGCAGTAGAGTATATGGATGATGAAAACCACTGAAAATTCCACCTTTCTACAACTAACCCGCATTAATGACTTTAAACCTGTTTATCAAGTTGGTCCACTCTCAAAACCTCTTCGTTTTCAATGCTCTTAAATATCAAATACTTTAGTTACTCATGAGATCAGGTCTAGTGCTTGTGTACAGAATGAATATATCTTTACTCTGTCTAAAATCTAAATCTATGATTCGCGCTTGTTATATTTTTCCTCCCGAGATTATCCGTTTTCTAATTATTTTTGTCTAACTGAGTTCTTCAATATTACTCTTCCGAATACCATTTTAATTATCCGACGCCAACTACATTTCAACGGATGGCTAGTTTTATAGATCTTTTAAAACAAATATATGAGGATCTCGCACAACATTGGTTGTTATTATTTGCATGATATAACCTATTATTAAATTGTCATGTTTATCAGTTGTTTATATTTTTTCACGAACACATATATTTGTCTAAACAAATAGACTGTTAAGAAATTCTTTGAGATGGAGCTTTTTTAACGTCTTACTTTCAGAGCGTCTGGTAAGTCTTCGCGGTCTCGTCCTATTGAACACTACTTTTTAACCACAATATGGAAATTCTTTGTCATCTTATGGCATGTAGTGGTTAAACCACCAATTTAGTTCCCTTATTTTCAAGATTGGTTCGTAACATTCTATTGTTTTAAACCACTGTCTGATAACTACAATCAAATTTTATAAACTTACAAATCCAGCTAGACTGAAAAAATTAATCGCTTCAAGGATTTCGGATAACCGTATAAATGAAACTCACAATGTGGGCAATGCAGACGCTGGAGCTGTCTTTCGATCTCGAACGGATGAACGCCTCATTGCCAAGTAGTAAACTTGTAGTAATTTACTAGCATTTTCTTCCATTTTCACTGTAGGTGCCTTCTTGCATGTATCTAGAAGCTGTCCATCAAAAGAAGAAAACTTAAGTTTAGCTGTACTGTACGACTACTTCGCAATCTTTATACTTTTGTCAAAGCTTGAATTATCAATATTTCATTAGATTAACCAGTTAACAGAGACAAATTATGTGAGAATATTTGTTTGCACTGACATTCACACAATAATTTGTGGAAAAACTGAAATGTAGAGGCTTTTGTTACGTCTCCGAAAAGATGTGTTCGAAAAGTTGTCCGTAAATTCAAATTTTTGACAAAAAATAACTATGATATGTTTTTACTATCGACTGATATCACACACAGAATTAGTAAGAACTACAGGGTGCTGATTAACTACTCAGATCTTCTTTATGGTCCGTTTACAGTTTAGATGACCAGTGGATTGATTTCAGTCGTCTTTGATTTGTTGATTTATTCAATTTTCAAGCACTGAAATGTAATTTTACAAGCACGTTGTTTTGCTAAGACTGTCTAGTGGTTTCTGATTTTATTGTTCATAATGTTTCAAGTAAATGCGTCACCGTTGTAGCTAGATTATTTGCGACAGTCTGATTTAGTAGTAAACGCTAAAAACTCATGAGAGTTAATTATAACGAAACCAATCAAAACACGGGGTAGCTTTGTTGCCTTAGTTTAGGACTCCTTGAATCTCGTCATTTTATGATGAAAACGTACTTAAAATTGAACAATTTCGACTAGCTTACTAATTTAATAATAATAATAATAATAATATCGCCAGTAGGAACTAGCTTTGAGAAAACTTCACAAAATCCTGATGAGTGCTGGTAACCTGTGGGATTGAACCATGTTAGTATTGAGGCGGTTACCAGCGATATCCTGGATGACAATTACGTTTCAACATCAAATGACCGAAGTTAGTAATATGAACTAATGAGTCCGAAACTTTTGGTCTCAGTGTTTACTTTCTTCGACACACTTAGGCGGAGTCATGAACCGGATTGAAATAGTTATTCATTGGTCTTACGTTACCGTACTGCAAAAATCGACAAAAAATCACTCTCTTGAATTTCCGTAAAAAATGATTTACAAGAAATGATTTCCATGCTCTTTATTAAATGTCAGGTCATAGATTTAGGATCTAGTTACTACTGTAATCATCTGTAAACTTTTGGCGATAATAAAAAAATATTTGTTGGATTTTAGGTTATATCACACCAGAAGTTAAAGTCAAACCTTATTTAACTGCGACGACTTATTAACAAACGACAGTTATGATGAAACATACACTTGAGTAAATTTTCATATTTGGGAGTGAAGACTTCCCTGAAGATTTTACGGTTTCCAAATTGCATGTTGGTGATAAACAGAAGTCCGCTATTGATCCATCCATGAGCTTGATTGGGCCAGAAGCCTCTTGAGTATTGACAACTATATCGAAAGCGCTAAAACCGATTGCGTCAGATCAATAACCTTAAAAGTATTCTTAAGCAGAATATATATATAAAATCAGAGGCTCCATCTTAATGTGCTTTCTCACTTAGAAATACAAATGAAAGATGACTTTACAGAGTGGTAAGGTGTGTAGTAACTCCCATGAAAAGTGTTAGAGTTCACAGTGCAAGCTTATTATTCATATAAACATGTATATTTTTTATATGGTCGTCTGTTAAACACTGGATTGACTTACTGACTTGATAAGATATTGCTTAAAGTATAACTAAATATAAATAAGTTATATACCATCATATTGCCTTCATTACTAGAACTCCAGACGTACAACAATATTAATGATTTAGTTCTGTGCAAGCCTTTCACCCGCTAGTTAACAGTCTGAGTTAAAATGACAAGGATAAGAAAGGTTATCAGAGGTGGTAACTATGCTTTTACATTTACTTGAGAAGTATGTGGCGGTAAATAAGTCTACAAAATAAGTAGTTCTTTAAGTCTTAGGTATGGGTGCCGATCATATTGGTTTTACTGAACACACCTTGGCTGAAGGCCTTCGGTCAAAAATCCTCACCAGACCATCGGGTAAGAAGCATCATCATAAGAAATAAACCTCTATGGAAACCTTGAACAATATTTAAGAAAAGAAGAACGAAAAGACAGCAACCAACAACAGTCGAACAAGAGCAGAGAAATTCAAGGCACAAGATGAATACACTGAAGCAAACAAGCGAGTGAAGAGGAGCATTAGAGCCGACAAGTGGAATTACGTAGAAGAGCTATGGCAGCGGAAAGAGAAGGAAATATGAAACTGTGGTAACCCCAGGCAGCTACTCCATTATTTGTCTACTCGCTGTAATTTAGACACTTAACCCACCACGTAAAATTATGTGTGAGTCTGATTGAGCGCATGTCTGCACATCAATCTTTAATCCATCCTCTCATTGGTTGTAAACAAAGACAATCAATCATTTATCAACAGCGGATTAACACTCATAAATACATACGGATTTGTAACATTCACATACACGCTCACTCGCTTCCCTGCGGGCTTGCCATATGTACGGCTGCAGATTTTACTAATCTGTAACAATAAACTATCTCTATAACTGTTGTTCGTGCTTTTGAATGATCTCAAGTAAATCCATAATTCTACTAGGAGATTTAGCCTGTGTTAAATACTCAGTTAACGGGATACTATTTATTGGGGCCAGATATAGATAAAATTAACCTCTACAAAACAACCACATGACACAACGAAGAAACTGGTAGGGAGATATGGTAAACCACAAAGACCAGTCAAGGACAAAGAAGGCGATACAATCACTGAGATTCAAGAACAGAGGAAAAGGTGGGCAGAACACTTTGTGGAACTCTTGAATAAGCTGGCTCCACTGAATCCACCGGACATCGAAGCAGCACACACACATGTTCCTATGGCTTTGAATTCATCAATGATCGGCGAAATCAGGACGACCATCAGGCAAATAAAGAATTAAAAAGCGGCAGGATGAGACAATATGCCAGCTGGAGCACTGAAGTCAGACATTAAAGTAACTGCAAACATGCTTCACCTATTCAAAAAGATTTGGGAGGAAGAACAAGTGTCGATGGACTGGAAAGAAGGACACCTCACCAAGATGTCAAAGAAACGAGATCTGAGCAACTGTGAGAACTACAGAGACATCACACTACTGTCAGTACCAGGAAAGGTTTTTAACAGGGTGTTGCTGAACCAAATGAAAGACTCAGTAGACACCCAACTTCGAGATCGACAGGCTGGATTCCGTTGTAGCGTGGCGTCGAGTTGAGATTAACTATGAACACCGCTACCAAGAAACACGTGCCAAATAAATCAGAAGGCGAAAATCGAACGTAACCAGATTTATTTCGTTGGCGATCTCGTGGTATTGAACGAATACCGAGATCGTGCCAAGGAGTGGTACAAGTGGAAGCAGAAGACAGGAGTACGTGCGAACAGTACCAAAACTGCGGAACAATGATGGAAGGTAATGGAAGCACAAAATGGCTATAATTAGCACAGTTAAACAAAAGCACATTAAAACAAACACTGTCACAGTTGGTTATAATAATAATTGTTTTTATTAAACCAGTCGTGTTCCCGTGATAAACGTAAGTCACTACACCGTACGGATAAGTCGTGCAGAAACCGAATTGCAACGCTATTGATCATCGTTGAACAATCAATCGAATGGAATCCGTCACTTTACGTCAACTTCATTGATTATAAGAAGGCGTTTGACAGAGTGGACAGGAGAACATAATGGAAACGTTTTCGACACTATGGAGTTCATGAGAAGATTGTCAACATGATCCGGAATTCATACGACGGACTATAGTGCAAATTAGTCCATGGAAGACAGCTGACAGATACATTCCAAGTGAAGACCAGAGTCAGACAAGACTGCTTACCCCCTCCCTTTCTATTTCTTCTGGTGGTTGACTGGATTATGAAGACCTTGTCGTCTGAGAGGGAACACGGAATACAATGGACAGATCGGAATCAATTAGAAGATTTGGATTTCGCAGATAATCTGGCCCTTCTATTTCATACACAATAACAAACGCAGATGAAGACAAGTAGTGTGGCAGCAGTTTCTGCATCAATGTACACAAAGGAAAAAACAAGATTCTCAAATACAGAACAGAGAACACCAACCCAATCACACTTGATTGGAAGATGTGGCATCTTTCACGTACACCGGAAGCGCCATCGATAAACGTGGAGTATCTGATGCAGATGTAAAGGCAAGGATTGGCAAAGTAAGGACCGCATTCCTACAATTGAAGAACATATGTAACCCAAAACAACTGTCAACCAATATCAAAATCTTCAATACAAACATCAAGAAAGTTCTAATGTACAGAGCTGAAACTTCGAGAACTACCACAATTGTTACCAAGAAGGTGTAAGTGTTTACAAACAGTTGTCTACGCAAGAGACTCAATATCCGTTGGCCGGATACCATCAGCAGCAGCCTACTGTGGGAGAGGACAAACCAAGTTCCAGCTGAGGAGGAATTTAGAAAATGACGCTGGGATTGGATAGGACATACATTACGCAAATTGTCAAACTGCATCACGAGGCAAGCCCTAACTCGGAATCCTAAAGGGAAGTGGAAGACAGGAAGGCCAAAGAATACACTGCGTCGGGATTGGGAGCAGACATGAAAAGGATGAATAGAAACCGGAAATAACTGGAAAGCATTGCCCAGGACAGAGGTGGGTGAAGAGTGCTGATGAGTTGTCTGTTCTTCTCCATGAGTGGTAACAGTCGTAAGTAAGTATCTAGTTTCGAAATAATCTTATCCAACAGTCTACAGTTTTTTGCATAGCCGGTTTTACTCTGCAGTAATTCTTTGTTCGACCACTTCGTAGACAGCACCCTCGAAACGCAGGTCTTGTCGTCCGCAAAAATTTCATAAGATCATTACTTAGTTAACAAAAGACCCTAATAAAGCTTCTATGATTCTGTTACAGATCTTTCGGAAACAGTATACGTTAGTTCGACCCATCCTTAAGCAAAAAGTCGATTCTCACCAGCAAGTCCTGAAAATTAAGGGATCCAGCTTGAAAAATGTGTTAAAGTAGGAATATGTTTCAGTATTTTAAAAATAATATATATCTACCCGTAAACCTCCTAATTTTGTACACTACTTATTTGATCCTAGTCAAATATTTACCCACCACATAAATTTTGATTTCGTCTGCGTCAGTTTTTTTAAAAAATGTTGAGTCTTTTAACTATATATTCACAAATTATCATGGCGATAATTGCTACTGAAATTAAATACGGACTTAATCTATACGAATACTTAGTGGCAAACATAAATTTTCTGTAGAATTTAAACATGGAGAAAAAGTTTATTCTAGTTCCGATTTACTAGTCAGTTCTTTAGAGGAAGAAGGAACATGGATTTTTTCAATAAATATTAGCTTAATCGTAATCATCTTATTCTCTACTATCAGTTTAATTCGGGTTAAATATCTGTGGTATTTGTATCAACCACTGATTCTTTTGTATTTGATGACGGCCTGATTTCGAATTCAAAATACAATACGTTTGTTTGTACTCACCTAGTTCTTCTTGATCTAAATTACGATATTTCGTGGATTACTAGTTCATACAATAATTCAAATACTTCTATTTATCACAATATTTTGTGACGTTTATTCTTGATCGGATGGATTATTTGTTAAACTTAAATGTAGCGATTTTTTAATTTCTTAAACAGAAACTTTTAGCGGAATGTAGTAAACTCTTCCTTTGATAGCTTATTATTTAAAATAGTTGGGAGCAGTTCGTTTTAATCTAAACACCCAATCTACATGTGTTCCTATGGTGTTAACTTTTTCACTGTTTAAAAGTAAACCCTTTTGGTAATTACTCACTGTATAACTCTTTTTAAATTTCCATTGAGCAGTAAACTGGTACACTTCTCGTTTGTTTTTACCATCGTTTCAATAAAAATATCTGTATCAGATAAATAATTTTGTGAAAGTTTAACAATTGGATCTTCGACTTTTTTTCTTTGCAGTAGATTAACTTCAACAGTAGCCCAAATAGTGGTTTCATTAGGGTAAAATAGCTCTTCGCTGACCTTATGAACAGATGTCAAATCAACCCCACAACGTGAATATGAGTCACCCACGGTCATGTTCTCTAAAGCTAGGTTGAAAATGATGAAGCAAAATAGAAAACATTTGAAAAAGTAACTTCATTCGAAAATATCATGAGTTAGAATGTGGTAGTATTTCATATGATTTACTCGGCTTTGATCATATGATAATAACGAAAGTAATGATAAGATCTTAGTCTACATATAACCATAAACTGCATATGTAAAGCAAAATATAAATCTTCAGTTTGTTTTTGAAGTTTTTTCATCATTATCGCCTCGAGAACTCAAAGTTCAGTTAACAGCACAAATGTTGCACAAATAACCCACATAGAATTTCAGAAGGATAAAGAAATTCCTTAGGTAAATTATATTTGCAAATTTGTAATAGGAAATTCGCGGTATTTTGTTACTTAAAATTTTCTTGACGATCTTTGGTTTGTATTCATACATTTATATCTGATAAACTGCCTTGAAGCAACCATAAAGTTAGATTATTTTAAAATTTACTTTTGCTTTTAACGGTTACACCATGATATAAGAATGTACGGGTTTTTAATATCTGGTCGGCTAGACACCACTTAAAGCATTTTATCGACATGCGTATATATTCTAAATTTCTCGATTTTAAGTCATGTATTTATTTGATTACTAAAAGCAATCTAAACAACTTCATGATGACATCAGTATAACCGGTCTGGAAAACAAGGAGTAATCGTTATTACAAACTTGGTTTTTTTCAGGAAATATTATGTTATCATCAACTTACCGTAAACGAGACTAGTTAGTTCCTTTTTCTTATGAAATTCCAAATTTGGGAAATAAGCTATTCCTCCAGAAGCCAGTTCTATAGTTCCACCTAGTTGGTAGATTACAAAGAAGCGGAGAGTATGTAAGTTGGGAGTTTCATAGGATTTGTATTGCTTAATGCAGCAGTTCTTCATTGAGTCTAGAATTTGGAAGGTGTTTTAATTTTCCCATGTAACGACCCAGCTATTCCTATTGCTTAGTAATCCTGGACATTAATTCACTCGACTAGTCCCCAAATCAGAACATGGTTGAACAGGAACCAAATTATATTCCAGATAACAAGGGTACATGGAAGTAAGAACCACAGTAAGAAAAACATTAGTATATTTATAGTTTTTACATGAGAAGATCCTCGAGTCTTCTCGAAGTATCGACTAGCTCTGATTGGATAAGAATTAGCTAATCAATGTGCACCAGCACAATCGTGCATGGAACATGCTTTAATCTAATCTATGTACCGCTTAACAGAGGGCTGTTACATAAATTACTGGTCTAACTTTGTAAGATTTACAAAACCATGAATAATGACTTGGCTTTAAAAGTTTAGCTCTAAATTTACATAGCTATCAAAATTGTCTATCTGGTTTGTTATTTCTTAAAACGGTAGTCTGTAAAATAAAAACATTTAGTAGAACAGTTGATGATAACTTTATATCTTCATCGCTCAAAATCTCCAGTTCTCTCAAAACATATATCAGGAAAACTCCTGGTGTTAAAATCACCAAACTCTGAATGCCTGTGGAAACGTATATTAAAACAGTTACGAGTCTTCTTCGTTGAAAAATAAATTTCACAAATGTTTAGTTACTGATCTTTTACCACTTGGTTTCCGTAAACAGATAAGTACTGGATACCAATTAGATGGAGTATCTTGAGGTTCAACTGAAAGTTGGATCATAATCATCCAGTCTATCTAAATTCAAACTCAAAACCTACACATAACTGTTTGTTCTTCATTCGTACACAATTTGTCCAGTTCTATAGACTTCGTTTGTAGGGTATTCTGTTTCTTTGTAGTTTTCCAAAGGCATTTTACATTTGGTTTCTTAGATCCACTGGAGTCCACTTCCAAAGATGTCGGAGGTATACTACTCCCAGGCTTGTGCTCACAAAATGGTTTTGAAAATTGTCCTGCTGCTCTCAGTAGGTTATTTGATAAGTTGTCGCCTAGGGGTCCCACTAAAAGTAGAGCTGGAGGTCTACATGAGACTTGCGAAAATAAAAGTTTTTCATCCTGAGTTAAAAATTCAGGAAGATAAAACGATTAAAGTGATAGTTACTGCCGAAAACCAATATTAAAGTAATCATAACAAGAGTGGTGGTAATAATAATGATTTTAAGATGGAATATGATAAAACTGAAATAGTTGTATTTCTAAGTTCATGATGGAAGAAACATTTTACCGAATAATCTTAAAATAATAAACTGCTTACATTGATCACAAATTAGGGATGAAACATTGACTAACATAAACCATACAACAGTAAATCGGATTAAATAAAGATAATATCAAACAACCAAATCAAATCTTTAACTATTATTTAAACGAGAAGAGAAAGAGAGAGGTATTATTAATTCGATAACCGCGATATTGCCGGGTGAACTACATGTTATTTATGCGCTCACAGTTTGGTCTCGAGTCTATGAATAACGGTAGAGGTCTCCCATCATTCTACTTATTGAGAGGTTGGCGGAGATCTGTAGCTCAGGTAGATGGTTCTGGTGGGGTTTCTCCCTCTGAGCTGGATGGTCTGGTCGTGGAGGATCATCAGCACAAATTTCAAGGGGCAGTGAAGTAGTCTCATTTCTCCACATATGACTCACAGCAGCAAACAATCAGAATGTTATTTTAGTTAAACTGATTGAGTAATCGTTCTTGCTCTTATTTAGCTATTAAGTAGGCAGCCGGAGAGATCACTGCACTTTGGGTCGTTTGTCGATGAGAACTCTACACGCTAAGACTAACCCTTTAAATGAAAGTTTGACAAATGTAGACTTTTTGAGGACAGTGCTTTGTTTCAGTATCCATTTTATTGATTCATAGCTCCCATGTACTTTATGTTACTTCCATTCTCAATTATTGTCGTCTTAGTAATTACTACCTTGTATTCGAGAGAGTCTTTGGGACATAGTCTCGTTATCCTCAAGAACTCTGTCGCAAGACTTCCCTTATATGTGACTGGACAAAAGCTGTCTTACAGTAAGTAGAACGTAAGATCAAACACTTGTCATCCCTTATTATCGTTAAGTTTAAGAAATTCATTTTATTTTGTATTTCATGCTCACATGTTGACTTTGAACTTGAATGAATCAAATCGAAACACTTAAGTAACTGATCAGCGTGGTTTCGATTATTATATATGATTCATGTGCCAACAACATATCTCAAAATGATAGCATTAGTTTCATCATGTTCTTTAGTTTGTTGCTTTCTAGCTGTGAAAGAAAAATACTATCGTCCTATGCTAACCATAGCAACATCTATTTATCAAAAATACCTTACGTAAAATTGAAACTTTACACTTCTTATGTATAACAGTAATGATATTTTTAATCTGTTAGGAAAATCGATCTTGTAGGCGCGACTGAACATGATATCAATAATCTCTTTTAATGGAACATACAAAAAAGTCGTTCAATTTCTGTTTAGGTTGATGCAGTCAGTTTTATGAACAGAGTTAAAACTATCTTTGAGACATTCCGTTTAAAACGCATCGTTTAAACTAAAAATGGATGGTGTAGATTTGTTTCCATGAAGATGGTATGTTTATCAAAAATGAGTTGTTCATAAGCGGTTAATTAAAATTAGAAGTCTAGTGATTTTTAAAGTTTCTAGAATCATTCAACTTTCAAGTAAATCGGAAATAAATGCTTGGACAAACTTGAGAGTTTGCTTCAATGAAGCTGATTTCAGTCGCTCCGAATCGTGATTGTGAGACTAGTAAAATTTCTGCGCTGATGAGCTCTAACTTAGAAAAGACTTTATAAATTTAACTTAATTTACCGAAGTCATAAATTTATGCCGTAAATATTTGTTTGAATTTATGCTGACCATAATAACTAGTAGTGCATACGAAATAATTTAACAATAAAAGCGGAAACATTACATCAAGGGCTCGTAAATTAAGAACTGTCTCTTAACGACTAACAGCCGGTAAATTAGTTTTCATCAGCACAGAACGCTATGGTTTGTATCAACTGATTTCCTAATTAGTTTAATCCCATGTATAGACTTTGTTGTTTCCACATCCTTTTTTATCTGTTGTTAGACGCTTAAGTTAATTGTCATAAGAGCTACCTTGCTTTCTTTTTGTCTGGACGAGAAAAACCACTCTAATCTGATTGTAATGAATTTTCTGTTGAAAATGACTTGTGTACTAGTAAATATTGAGGGGAAACTTGTAAACTAGCTGTTTGATTATAAGCTAGCGGCCTACTCAGAAGTTTGTGCCCCCTATTTTCGTTTGTGTGAATATTACAGTAAATCTTCAGTTTAGAATATGTTTGAACTGAACAATTGAGTAGTTACCTCATGTTTCTACTCGCTTATATATAGAGTTTGCAACCTATTGAGATTCCAAACCCTGAAAAACGGAAATATTACAGTTATTGAAATTTTCGTCTTCTAGCCTGTCCTTTAAATAAAAGAGGGGAGAATATATTTGTACTTATTAATCCAATACATGATGGACAAACAAATAGCTGTAGCCGGTAAAGTGATAGAAAACATTTTTGAGTGAAAACGACTTCAAATACTGACTGTAGCTGAATCGTAGACTATTCCTACACTTACACGAAAGCATTATCCAGTAACAGCACGAGTTATATAGCACTAATAGTATCTGAATACACATACAATGCACACCACTTTTCGTATGTTACAACTGATAACATGAGTGTCAGATATTTTCTGTTAAAATTGATGAAAAATGGTTGCCCCAGATAAACACATTCGTGGAAGATCGATACAAATTTTAATTTACTTCTGATAGCCCTTAAACGTCAACATGTGAAATTAAACTTTGGTGGAATTTTCACCAGTGATCTTTGAACTATGTCATTTTGAATGATAAATTAAATAGTTATAGAACTGTATTTCATAGTGTTCTGTCACATAGTATATGATTTTTTAAATACTGCTTTGTACATAGTATCAAGTTTACGAATGAAAACAAATATTTTTAAATTATTTTTTCCGAGTTACACAAAATAAACCCGAATTAATGAATTGTTTAACTCACAGGTTCTGTGAATTCATTTTGAACTAGAAGTAAGAGTAGAAGCCACTTTAACAGGAAAAAAGTGCCGGGTTTCGTAACATTATCTGTATAATAGTGAATATCAAATTAACTGTAAAGATATTTTACCTAAGAACATGAATGCGAAAGTGAATGCGATGCCAAATTCATATGCACGGACATCTAGAATGATGGAGTTAATATTAAGAACAATTTTTGAGAGTATGAGAATCAGCCATACAATTTTAATTCACTATCAAAGTACACACTCCATTTAAACCATTAAATACATAATCATTGCATAGATAAAATATTATACCACGAACATTGATTTCAGGGAAGCTACATCAAGTTTGATTTAGTATATATTCCTAAACACTTGTTGTGTCTGACGTTTTCATTTGTTATTCAGCCAGGAGGTTGCTAGTTATGATTTTAAAGTGTTACTTTAAGATGTTTTATAAGACTTCACACTAAGTTACAAAACAATGATGACTAGCCAAGAGATCCTTTATGTAGAAGTGATATTTTAGAAAGCTTTAGTCTTTTGATACCTGGTTGATCATGGCTAAGGAGAACTAATTACTCTATATTATCAATCAACGTAATCCACATGATACGACCACTAGTCTATAGCTGTTTCATGTCGTAAATGTGCAGAATAACAAGTGGTTATATAAGACTAACAAGAATCGACAAATTACGTTACCCAGTTTACGACGCGACAGATATGTTAGCTTACAATGACCTCTAATATATATAAGAATCAAATACAGATGTAATATACTGTAGTTTCTTTTTGCACTATACGCAGACATTGTGAAAGCGTTGAAAAAGCAAATTCTTTCAGTTTGTATTTGAATGTTTCTGTCGTCTGAATAACGACTTTTACAGGTAGAAAATGTAAAAAGACGTATCGCTAAAAATTGGATAACTGGCTAACTTAACTCTTGTTTGCTTCTCAACGATCATTCTCTCTTTCTAGAAATATTTATATCAACTTATAGTCTGTTTACTATAGTTTCTTTTTTGGTCACACTACTATAACTGATAGTTCAACTCATCAACTCTGTTTCTCAAAACGGTAACGTGATTAATCCATATGCAGAAAAGCTTTATTTTTTATTGCATCAACAAATGACTTTATTTTAGCAATATAAATTTCAGTCAATTTTTCAACGTAAATGCTCGTCAACAATACCTGATACTTTGTCATTCAAGAAAAACCTTAACACTTCAATAGAAGTAATTAGAAATAAGTAATTAAGTTCTTATATATTCTTACAGTTAGGTAAATTTTCTACAACCGTAGTGAGAACGCATTTCCAAGGGTCCATAGAACTAATGAATGAATCTTCAATCCCATAAACCTGAGAAAAAGTCAGGAATTTGAATTCGATGTAATCAATTATACCTTGAACTCCCATTGGTATGAACGATCAGCTTTTTTTAGATGAGGAACACCAGAAATGAAGCATCTTCTTCCGAATTTAAGTTTGGAAATTAGTTTATCTGTAATAAAGCATGGTATTTATTTGATTATACATTGTTACCTAATTAAAAAACAGCGTAAACCTAGTCTGTTACACATAGGAATACTTAGCTTAATTTGTTTGTATTCAAGCGTTATGCATCTTACACCAGTTTCTTTAAGAACTGATAATAACGTTTTTTGAACTAATTTAGAAACAGAATACTTTTGCAGCATCAGTACATATCACGCTTCTTATATTGGGTTTATCAGCGTTAAAACGTAAAGGGTGTGCTCAACTAACAGTTCTCTTTCTTGTCAATAACACTTTTATTACTTGACTCAATCAACTCTTTAAAAGCTTACAAGTATATGATTTTTATTTTATTTTAAAATTGCAAACAGCGAATTTGACATCTATTGGATGTGTTTAAAATTTTAAAAACTGGATACAGCTAACAATTACGTGAAGTATAATGAAGCGAAGAAACGTTTATTTTCAACCAGCTTTACTCATTGATCGATATTAAGTAGTTCAATCACTACTGATAGACTATCTTATCATGTAAGTTATCTGTAGTTAACTTCCTTAATAATTATCAACTTTCTCATTATTTCAACGAGGTTCTTACGGATTTATGTGTTTACCTTGACATTCAACTTAATAAGAATTGTTGTATCATAATTTTATTAATTTACCCTATTAAAAATACTATGGCTAAAAATATTCTGGAAAACATTTTGGCGTTAAAGATAAACTGTTCCATTTGTTAGTATAAGGAAGAAAGCAAATCAAATTTGGTTGTAAAACGCAGCATTATAATAATGGCCCGAGAGTGACAAACAAACCACAAAATGTATACATAAATGAAGTTGCAAATTATATTTTGATGAGATAGAAGTATTGCTGAACGTCTTTCTTTCTCTGAGATGTGTATTTTAATTATACATTTCCTGCAGCTGTAGATGTTAATGACGCATAAAATCTGTAGGGAGTACATATCATTTCCATGAAAATATTCATGACAATATCTGTTAACGCTTTAATTTAAACTGTTGTAAATGTTAAAGATCAATCATGTCCATGACCCACTGCTTTCACTGCTATATTCCATGAAGTAAATGTCAAAGCACATATTTATTTTGTTCTTTTGCCTACATTTGCTGCTTAATCTGGATCATCTGAGTTTATTAAAACGTCTTAGCTTCTTTAACTAACCGTTCGGTTTACTTACCATGTTTTTCTCTTTGCTACGCGGAATAAAGTTCTTAGAGAGTAACAAATGATTTTCTGCTTAGATGTGATTTCCCCTAAACTCTGTTTAAATAACACTTGTATGAACAGATCTATGGTTGGATGCGTGTTTATTAAGTTTGTGATTGTGCTGGGACTTCATAAGTAACCCTATTTTTAGACACATTTAAACCAGGCAAAGACTGTCTTTTGATGAAGTCAGATTTTTTCTCCAAAGACTTGATCTATTTGTTAGTACTATTAAGCATTCGATCATCCAGTTACGTACGGCTTATTCACAATAAACTTTCAGTGATCAGACAGTCTGATTACACTTGTTTTAGTTGTTTGAGGAAATAACAATGTCAAACATAATGCATTATACTATTTATTAGGATTATATTAGGATTGAAAAAGACTTACCACAAACAGTGCATTTAACGCTTCTATTCAATGTAATAATTTCTGATCCGGTTTCCGGTTTTGGTAATAAGAGAAATTCCACTCTTTCTAAGCATTATAAATGGGATATTCAACAATAACTTTAGTTCTTTATTTGATATAAATGCGAAATTTTACGGTCTCCGTAGTAGTATGCGGTTTAAAAGATGTCAGCTTTAGCCAAAAATCCTCTTCAGTATAACAATCATGTATCAAGATATCTGAACCTTTATTTTCATCAGGACGCATTAAATTTTAATACTAGCATCATTCATTACTACACCCAGAAAACTAATATAATTACTAGCTAACTATTTAAGCCTAATGAAACGAAAGTTAGTAGTCAGTCTGGATGTTTGGGACTCAAAAATAACTACAGTTGAAGGAAGTTTGACTTTTTCATACTACTAATTGGTTTCTGATTATAAACAAAATAGTTTGTGTAAGAATTGATCCGAAAAGTGATTTATATGGACCAGTACTTGTAACATTCTAAAATGAATTGTTACGCGGGCTTGATGAACTCTGTTGATCAGAAATAATGATAAATATCAGCTTGTATAGGAACGGTTTGTGAAAATGCGTTTGCAAATACAAACTGAAGCTCTTAAAATATTGATATGACAACTAACTTTTCAAATGTTAAAATAATTAGGACTCTGTTATTCCTCTTCTAGCATATTAACTCCAGTTTAGGAAACTATCGTTGCCTAGATGATCATTTGTCTTCTGTCCTCCCCAAATTATAAGAAAAATTCAAAATTGTTTCTTAAAAGCTTAACAGTTTTCTTGATATATTACTTCATAAAAATTCTGATCCCTTTTACATTTTGCAACTACATGGATCATTTGCCTTGTCGCTTGGTTATCAATGAGTAAATTGTGTTTGAAATAGTTCCTTTAGTTTAATACATTATTTGTGTGTTAAAACAATGAAGAATGTACCAGGTAGTAAATTAAACCGATATTTTTAAATAAGACTTGTAATTTTAAATTGATTCAATGCCAGAGTGCATTTTTTAAAATATTTATCATCAGTTATTTTTGCTATTTTCAATATATAATTAAGATAATGAAAATCCTAGTGTTTTAAGACTGCAGAGATTAAATTAATCGATATCACTAAATCGTAACATCATCAGTTTGTATGAACGCTTTTACACCTAATAAACCGACATCCAAATGAGTAAACAAATATCATTTTTTAAATTACAATTAAGTACACTTTTCTTGTCAAATGAGTTATCAGATATGAACTATTTCACATTTTGTTTTTAGGACATATTTTTCAGCCGGAAATGATGTTTTGCAAATGTGGTTAGTTTTGAATGGTTACAAGTTTTAAAATACTGTAAGGAAACCTGGTGTAATTAAACATTATTGGCTTCATAAGATGAAAGTAATAACTAAATAAAATTGAAAGTAAATTTCGTGCGTTACAAAGCAATGTCAAAACAAGGAATCAAACTTTTGTAAATTGGAATATCTAAAGTAAAAACTTAGTTCGCGAATGAAAATAAATAAATTGAAGGACAATCTGTACGGTTTTGCTTGACAAGAAGTCTAATTTCTAAATTAAAACGTTTCGAAACTTATTAACGCACTTGAGAACAACCTCTTCTCCATTTCTTCTCTCAGATCTGTATGACAAAATTTGCATTGGAATCTCAATAATAAGTTACAGTTTTCAAACATCTTACCTCGTCAACCTTTTGTAAATGTCCGTTGTATGTTGGATAAAGTAATTGTTATTTCCCGGACAAAGATGTTCTGGACATGAATACAGAACTGCTTTGGTGAACGAATGAACATGTGTTATTCCTATAACAACACCTTCTATGACAGTCAAACAATCTTTAGTAAATTTGTAGCTATTGTTATATTGAATTCTTCAAAGAACTGCATAAGATGTATTTACTCACTCTGGGATGCATAAAATGTCTGTGAAAATTACTTCCACAATAATAGAGTTTATATCATCATCGCACGATAGTATATCGATCTCAACCGCAAGACAAAATATTATCTACAATATATAAACAAACACGAATCCAATCAGAACAAAGTTTCTTTGTTCAAAGGATACGGACTTGCAGGCGAGCAGATATGACATAGATAACTAACTTGTCATTCTAAAACTTATGACTGACATCAGATAAACATTTAATAAACATCATTTTTGAGAGATAAGTCTATTGAAGCTTCAAACCAACTATTGAACACACAGATTACAGTTATTTTTCAACACTTACTTTAACTCTATATCCTAACTACACACATTATTCCTACTGTTAAAAGTTATGTTACTGAAGATGCAAAAAGAGGATGATCAGCGCCCTTTAACTCCTAGTCAGTGATTCGCATTGCAATATCGACTTTTTAAACAAATCCAGCCCCCCATTATTGTTAGAAATGTTTTAATAATGTCCGTCTAACCCAGAAATACATATATTCGCTGTGAAACGAGTTCATGGCAATCAAGGAAAACTTGCCGATATCCTCTCCTGAGGCATGCTTTGGCCATTGTAACCAATTTTTTTATTATTTTCAGAAAAAGTGACTTTCTTAGCTTCTTTAGTAGGTAAATAGCTGCGAAAAAGAAAAGGATTCGTTGTGTGAAAGCGAAACTGTGATGTTTGCATAGTAGACGCTACTCACAAGGACGTTTGTAAGTAGTGTATAACAAGACGCGGTGTCGAAGTTGAAAAAATTGTCGGACAGATTGAGTAGTTTCAGTGCATCGAAAGCAAAACTTTGGCAGAACACTTGGAGGTCGGTCGAAAAGACAATTCAGGTTGCAAAACACACTGGAGGAAGAAAGCAGATAATTAAGGGCTATTTATATCTATTATGTAAATACTTTGTAACTTCTCGCAATGAATATGAATTACATCGGCCTACTTTCGTGTTTCGTATTTGTAATTTACGTGCATTGGGTTGGGAACAAATTCAAAGAGAAACACCACAACACTTCACAACCTTGCGTAAAAACATCTTTCTGGAAAGTTCGGGTGAATCCAAATCCTTATAAGATTTGTTCTTGACGAAAGACGTAGTTACAGTTTAGACGCAGCTTAAAAACCATCAAATAATTCATAACACGTTAATTAAAAAATAATGAAACAATCGAAATAACCATTCATAACGTGTCTATATTTCAAAATGCTTTGTAGCAAGAGAGTGTTTCTTGCAGCTGTGGATCTCAATCCAAAAAACTTACTAAAGTATGCTGATTTAGTCAACCGTCTTATTCGCTAGTGATTTTTGAAAACAGAATTTTAAAACATTAGTAAACGCGTCTGATGTGAATGAATTTACTGTCAGATTATCGAAGGCTAATATGATGTGGAGCTCTTTGCTCTGTTTTACTTTGCGGCTCCCGAATGTGGTCTTCAAAAGAAGAGGACATTACTAGGTTATTGATGTTTGACTATATATTTCTTGGAACGATTGATTACATATGTGTGGACTACGCATTGAAGGTTCGTGAGATTTTACTAACCAACTTCATTGATAAGGATGTCACGTAATATTTATCAGAGTCATTTTCGGGTTTCAGATAGATTCATTCCTTGTTTTCCTCTAGAGTTTTAAAATTATTTTATCCCTTATGTTCTCTCAAGTTATCCCTAATCTTCTAACCAGAATTGTTATTTCTAGTCTCTTTTACTGGGACTGGTACTACTTCCAGGTTAGAATCAACCTTGATTATTTCATCTCGCTGAACTGATGTGATGTGACATTTTGTGCCTGTCCATTTATGTGCAGAGTTCTGACTTGTACATGGGTATCTAATTATGTATTGATAAGTAGCTGAATATATATATATATATCATGAATTTTCACCTTGAATGTGCGACTTCGTTGGTCATGATCTTGTAGAAGTTTAGATAACCAAGGATATCTGTAATAAGTAAAACTTATTTTTCGCTAAATAGTATGAGATTCATTAATAAACGTTTACTATCTGTAGATAGTGGATACATGTATCCACGTCAAGACCACATTGCGAGCTACTCTGCATGATTCAAATAAACAAGATTGCTACTCTGATATTTACATACGATATCAGTTAATTTAAACTCAATGGATAATATCTATCCAATATATCGTCTGTACAGAGTCTGACTACCCAACAGAATTTCAAAAATAGACTTACTTCTTGAAGAAGTTTTTCTAGTTTTGAGAACCGATACACAGCGAACATTAGACTCGGCCCTAGGATTGAAAAAGAATCATCCGTAGTTTGGCAACAAATTACCTGATTCTTCTAATAAATCATGCAGAGCAAGATAAACTGGAATGACACATACTGGTCGTTTCTAAATCGCTAATGTAACTCAGTGTTTAATTCAATTACTTTCCCACGAAATGTTTTGATCAGGTGGTTTTCAAACATTTTTATATGAGAATATTTCTCTAAATATTTAATTACACTACAGTACTGCGGAAACAAGTCCATGTTTCGAATTGTGGCTCAATTCAATGGCCAATAAGTTGGCCAAGTTCAGATACAGATTCTTGTAGTAAGGACAGAAGGCCTACGGCCTATGTTATTCCTTTTCTAGTATGCTTCTGTGAGTGTCCAGTCTTCTCTTGAAAGAGTCGATTGAAGGTGCGGACAACACTGCTTTAGGCAGCAGGTTCCAAGTATTGATGACGCAGTGTGAAAACCTGTATGCCACGGGTATTTTGTTCGTTCTTGGCTTTTCTATTCGCCTGCTATGTCCTCTAAGGTGTCCCGATCTAGTGGAAAGAAAGAGAGAGGATAAGTCAGGTCAGAAATCATTTTTCAGTATTCTGTACATCAAAATTAGATCTCCCCTTAGTCTGCGATAGGACAGAGTAAAGATGTCCAGTTTTTCAAGCCGCTCTTTGTATGATAAACCCCGGAGTTCCGGAATTGCACGGGTAGCTGCTCTCTGTACTTTTTCTAGTATGTCCGAGTCACCTTTTAAACAGGGGCTTGCAGCCTGAGCGCAGTTCTCTAGCTTAGTTCTCACTAAGGATGTGTATACTGTGGTGAACATGGTAGTATCTAACTTAGTGAATGTCCGTTTTAAAGCTCAGAGGGTTCGAAAACCCTTAGTTGCAACCTCCCGGCAATGGGCCGTCGTCTTAAGATCATGATTCACTGTCACCCCTAGATCCTTATAAGACCGGACTACGGGTAATGACACATCCCCTATGTTGTACTTATTTACCTTTGAATCCCCCAAGTGCATGTAGACACACTTTGCCGCGTTGATAGGCATCAGCCACTCTTTAGACCAGTTAATCATATTACTTATGTCTGCCTGACCAGCACATGTGTCTGTGTCTCCGGTCATTACTCTCCAGACTTTTACATCGTCAGCGTAAATTAGCACTGGGGACTGTACTATACTTGGAAGATCATTTACATACTGTATCAAAAGTAAAGGATCTAGGACGGAACCTTGGGGTACTCCACTAAGTACTGGTCTTCAGATGGAGCACTTGGAATTTATTCTTACGTTTTGTCTACGACCTACTAGGAAATCTTTAATCCATTTTAAAAGAGGTCCGGAAATACCAAGGTTTTCCAACTTCAATGGCAGTCTATTAGTTGGCACCTTGTCAAAAGCTTTACTGAAATCTATGTAGACAACATCCACTGAGTTTCCGTTGTCTAGCGCATTAATTCAGAACTCCCTTGCTATAAGAAGGTTCGTTGTACAGGATAGACTATTTCTAAAACCATGCTGTGCCATGTTCAGCAAGTTATTGGTTTCCATAAATGCCGTCATAGTCCATTTGATTATTCTTTCCAGTATTTTAATTACAACACTGGTGTGGCTTACGGGTCTGTAATTCGATGGAACTTGTCGTGGACCTGTTTTATGTATGGGAGTGACGATTGCGTTCTTCCAGTCCATAGGTAGCACACCTTGGTCAAGTGACATATTGAATATCACAGTCAGTGGGGCTGCGATATATTAGGCAATATGTCTCAAGATTTTGGGGTGTAGTTCATCTGGTCCTGTTGACTTCTCCACGTTTAGGGTGCTAAGAGCCTTAAACACATCGTTTTGGTCGAAATCCACGGTGAGCAGCTGGTTTGTTGACTCTGTATTTGGGTCTGGTTCTTTGTCTAGAGGAGGTTCCTGAGTGAAAACTGCCCCAAAATATTCAGCCGTAGCCTCTACTTTTTCCTGATCTTCCTTTATCATTTCAGATTCACTTCCTACTGTAATTAGGTTGGGAATCCAATGATGCATTCTTGTTCTGTAGTTTTTGTACGAGAATATTTTCTTGGGCTGCTTGAGTGCAGATTGTGCCAGTTGCATTTCATATTTTCTTTGAGCTCCCCGAATTTTCGTTATACACTCGTTTCTTATCGATCTGTAGTGTTCCATCGTACCTGCTGTGCCAAGGGGGATGGCAACGTCCCAGCATTTCTTCTTTTGTCTCAGCAAACGTCAAAGATCTCGCCCTATCCAGGGATGTCCGTGCTTCTTTTTCTTTGGGACAGTCTAGGGTATGTATGGGTGAGTTACCGTATTGTACAACTGCCTGAATAGAGTCCATAACTCTTGTACTGATGCCTTTGAGCCAATTTCCCAGTTTTCAGCCAATGCTGCGGAGTTAATTGCCTGCTTATCTGCCTTCCATATGTTGGGACGGGCCGGTGCAACTGTTTGACAGGCAATCGCAGCCATGAATTTGAATAAGATGACTGCATGGTCACTTCTCCCAAGTGGTGGGAGAAAAGCCATTTGACCAACGTCATCACCGTGTGTGAAAACTAAATCTAAAAGAGAGGAAGAGTTTCTTAGGTCGTATCTTGTGGGATCTCTAATGTGTTGGAATAATGCTAATCCAATCGAGATTTCTAACAGTTTGCAGTCGAACGACGATACGGATGACCCTACTTCTAAGTTAACCCAGTCTATATGTGGTGCATTAAAGTCGCCTACTACAAGACTTTTACCGTCGTTACACCAGCACTTAAGTTTACTTAGGAGAAAATCATCTGCTACACATTCTGGACTGCGATATACTACAACTAATTCAATATCTTGCCGTCGGCATTTCAACCTACATCTCACCAGTTTACATGTCCCTGAAACATGTGCTACTGTCTCAGCTAATCTTATGGTTAGGGTACTTTTCGTGTAAAGAATAACCCCGCCTCCCCTACGGTTTAATCTATCAGCCCTACTGGTTATGAAACCAGTCAACTGGATTTCATTATCTAATACTTCTGATGTTAACCAATTTTCCGAGACAGCAATAACATCCGGTTTTTCTTTATCCACCACTGACTTGAGCTCCGCCATTTTATTTAGTAGGCTGCGAGCATTTGTGTAGCATACCTTTAAGTCTGTGGAGAGCCTTTCCTTGCCACCCGGAGTGGCTTGGGGATCGTTTTGCTCCGAACTTTTACAACTTGAAAACCCTTAAGAACAAGGTTCCTTTCCCCGTTTTGGCGACGTTCATTTATTTCCGCTTCTGCAGCTCCTCTCTTAATACGATCTGCTAGGCTGAGATCCTCACGGACATATATTCCGGATCCTATCAGTTTACGTGAATTACTTAGAATCAGGTTCCTTTCTTCCATCGTGTTGAATGTACCCTTCAGGAGGCGGCTTTTCGAAGGACTTTCGGAATCCACATTTTTTCCTATTCTATAAAGCTTACAAATACTGACTCCTGAAACTGTATCTGTGAGTAGTTTACTTAATGATGTCTTAATATGATTGAGATCGTGTTCAAATCTCGTCTTTGGTTCTTTATCTGAAGATTCTCTTATATTATGAAAAATGACTGATCTCTCAGAGAGATCTGTCTTCTCACGCAGTGAGGATTTCTCTTCTGATAGCATCCCTTCCAATGCCTTGCTGACCAGCTGCGTTTTGCCTACAGTCTTTTTCTTCCCGTTTCTTTTTCTCCTTACTGAAGTCCATTTGTCACCACTCAGGACAGCCACACCTGGACTACGTGAAACGGTGACAGTTTTATCCGGATCTTCTATTTCGACTAGAGGTGTATGACTGCCGATGTCAATATCAAGCGGCACTTCATTCCTCGTTATTGTCAACGGAGATTTCACGTTCCCGTCAACCACAGTCAGGTGTTTAACGGGTCCGTTAGAAGCACCTACTACACTGACACATTCTTCTCCGTCAGTGCTCTTGTTATCATTGCTTCCGCCATCGTTTTTCTTGCAGGCCAAAGCCAATAGGCCCATAGCCTCCTGAATTAGTAACTTTTTATCCGTACAGCAGAGCATACAAAGCCAATGCGAGTTAGGCTTCGAACATCTTTTGTAAGCCGTCGAACTTAGGCGTGTACATATTTTGTGGTACCACTTTTTGCAATCGTCACATTCCATTCCCTCCTCCACGGGGAACAAACAATTTGGTTGTCCACATTTGTGAGTCTTACCAACCATTGTAATTCCATTTAAAAGGTTTAAAAAACACAAAATGATCACAATATGAACACAAGCGTTAGTCAGGAGTAAAAAAAGGTTCTCAGGACAAAACTTGGCAAAAAATTTCAAACTTTAACCAAGGTACTTTAAGTTAAGGTAGACCAAGAATGCTTTTTGGTGCAATAAGTACCCAAAGCAAGTATGATCACAACAAGTACAAAAATCTCTGCCCTTCTTGAAACGAGAGCACAACAAGCTAATCGTAATCCATGAGCAATCATGGATCTCTAGAATCTCCAGTAGACTTCCAGCTGCTTCATTTCTGTAGACTTAGAACTTAGTTAGAATTTGCAGGAGCCACCCACGCTTAGAAAAAAGAGGAAATATATTAGACATTACTTAGAAAACTTTGTCGCCACCTCAGGTGAATTCGCAACTGAACGCCGCGTTATTTCGTGCAGGGTGGTAAAATAATGGGATATTTCCTATGAAGAGAATTCATCAAATCCACACGTTGGCAGTAAATGAGTCCTCCGAAATAAATTGTTTTGTGGGTCTTCTACAGTGATTCCGACCTGATTAGATTTACTGGACAGACTTCAGCAGAAAGCTTTCGGTCACTCATCTCAACCAGATCACCAGTGGGTAGGCCATATGAGTGTACATTTCAACTACCAGTCAACATACAACTAACGCTTACAACATATCGACAGCCTGCCGAATAAATCTTCGAACTCCTCCATTTTTGACTTTTAATTTGATGAGGTTAGCATCTTCAGAATGAAAAAGATATTGTCAAACTTAGAATATCTGAAGCACCTTTAACACTTTGGTGATCGTGAGATAGTATAGGTTTTACCCAAATTAACATCGAAGTGTCTACTTCTCGATTAAATCTATTGTGGTATATAAAAACGAAGATGGTCGGGCTTCCAATGTCACCCTGTGCCTTGTTCTATCTTTTAAGTGTGTAAGACCCGTTTTGAATGTTTCGTATGTGTGTGAAAATCCCTCCATGTATATACTTGCACTTTGTTCCTATTGATCCACTTAGTTGTGCATTGTTAATCTTTTGATTACATTTGAATTGCTAATATTTGTATTTTTTATTTGCTTTTGTCTTTCTTTCTCCTTCACTAAGTTTTGTGTTTCTTCCCGAACTGCGTCTACGTTGTTTTACTTGATACTTGTTCTTAGTGGCAGCCATATTGGTTTGCTCTTCCTTTTGTTCGTGTTCTATCCAGTAAGGATAGAATAGCGTTCATTTGTGACTGATTTGATTGAGTGAACAATCATTGGTTGGATAGCCGGTAGGTAATATTTGTTTAGAACCGCTATTTACCCGATAACTTGTTTTGATTTTGACAGGCAAGGGCGCGTGTCTAACGTAACTGGAAGGCTATTCAGCCGTCAAAACCGTAGTTCGGATTCCACACAGTGGTTATATAAAGTATTTTAAATGGTTGTTTTTAGCATGATCTATGAATCGACTCTCTAAATTGCATTATCCCAGTTAAGTGTCACCTGTTTAGTCGCATCACATCAAAAGTCTCAAGGTTGCTAGTGAGTTGTTAAATCTGTTAATTTTAGGCTGGAAAATCTCCCCACCATAGTCTATGGGTTGTCTGTGTCTTGAAGAATAAGTTTGATAGGCCATTTTTATCCAGATGTATTCGTCTTACTTATAGCTTAAATTAATTAACAAGTTATAACATCTGGAAAATGTTCCTAATACTACTAAGATGTCATATAATTAAATACACTGTTATACTTCTAGGATAATGTCGAGAGCGATTTATGATATCCTTCATTCCATTTTGTTTAAAGATATTATACTGATACAAGATTAAATAATAGGAACCCTTCCGACCACAAGATTGTGATTATGTGTTAGGGCGTACCATAATAGCGATGTTATAAGTCCGAAAAGTCAGAAGAACTCAAAAATCTCTATAATGGGTTATTGCCTTGCAGTTCCTAACAAACTTTGTGTTCTTTGAGG